CCCCCACCCCCCAGAGTCCTCGCGGCGGAGAAGCCGAGGAGTCCCGGCGGGCAGGAGGAAGTGCTCGTGACCCCCGCCCCCCTCCCCGGCCCGATCCCGCCCCCAGCCTGCCGACTCGGGGAGCCGCCGGACTCTGCCTCGGACACCGGAGCCTCGCGACGGGAGCCCCCTCGAGGTGAAGCCGGCCGGGCGTCCCCCTGGAGCGCCGAAGGACTCCTCCGTGAGCGCGCAACTTCCCGCGCCCACCCGGGACTCGGACGCGGCCCTGGGGCCTGGGCGCCTGCCGCCGGGGGCGCCAGTCGGGGCCCGGGACGTGGCCCTCGCCCCCGATGGCGTCGCCGGCGGAGTGAGAGGCGGCGCGCAGGACTTCCCTGGCCGGACCCCCGTCTGCACCGGGGGAGATGTACGAGAGCGTGGAGGTGGGGGGGCTCGCCCCTGCCCCCAACCCCTTCCTGGTGGTGGATTTTTATAACCAGAACCGGGCCTGTTTGGTCCCGGAGAAGGGCCTCCCGGCCCCAGGCTCCTACTCCACCCCGCTACGGACTGCGCTTTGGAATGGCTCAAACCACTGTAGGTACTGGGCTGGTCCACCCCCATCCCCGGGGCGCGCCGTCTTCCACCTTGGGTCAGCTGTGGCTGCAGCTCGGGGCTCTGCTGGGCAGCGGCCCCCTCCGTAACCCCGGGGCACTATTTGTTCTGTCAGGGCGAGGAACTTTGCGGTTCCTCCTTCCAGGACACACTAGTCTTCTTCCACTTTCCTGGGGGACAGGAATCCCGCTCCCGGCCCGGGCTTTTTGCTCTGTTGCTCAAGTCTCTGAGCCTCACAGTGGGCTGGAGGGTGGGTGCGGGACCAGCCGGAGGCCTTGTCCGTTCCCAGGACCCAAGGCCTGGGGGGGGGGGCTCCTGGGCGACACTGCTGCTCCCAGCTCTGCGCTCGGGTCATCAGAGTGGGTGTCGGGACGGGGCCCTGTCTTTGGGCTGGGCAGGGTGGCAGAAGGGCATCTTCACACTCGGCCCGCCACCCTGGCCAACCCTTCCATCTCCAGGAGGGGCGCTGTCCCTCGAGGTTGTCCCGAGGCCGGCCCCTTCGCAGCTTTCCTCTCCGCGCTGGAGGGGAGTAGGATGCTGATCTGGTTTGTTCTCTGGGGGAGGAGTTTGCTGCGGGGGGGGGGGGCTGCTCCGGAAATGAGGGTGCAACCCTCCGAACCCTATGTTTCCTGAGTCCTTTTGTTACTCGTCCGGGAATAAATGGGACCAGCCTTATGCTGCCCCTAAGAATGGCCCTATTGGGGACCTTCTCCAGGGTGGGTCCAGGCTCCTGGGGAAGGAGAGCTGCAGGCACACCTGGGCGTGTTGCTGCCCAGCTGGGAGGAGCGGGCACTGGGTGTCAGGGGAGCAGGTGCACGGGGTTATTGGCAGGTGACTTGGGTTCTCCCCCTGCCTGCTCTGCCCTGGGCTCAGCTCTTCCCAGGAGGTTCCCCACCGCCCCGGACTTGCTGCCACTTGCCTGCCTGCGAGTAAAGAGGACTGGAGAAGGGCCAAGGGCCGGTCCTGCCTTGAGGGACCTCAGGGGGGATTGCCAGCCACCTCTGTCCTCCCAGGGACACCTTAACCCCAGCCTTTCCTATTGTCTGCCCCCCCCCTGCCTTTGGGCAGAAAGGCAGGGGTGACCCACGATGGTCCATCATCCCAGCCCTGGAGGAAGGGCCCCTAGCCTCCCCCTGGGGGATCAGGGCAGGGCTGCCAGGCCCACCCCCTCCTCCAGTTGGGAAGCTGGGCTCTTCCCGTCCCGGGGGACAACTCAGCTGTTCCTGGCCCGGGAGCTTAGAGGAGGATCTTGGAGGGGGAGGCAGCCGGGCTTCCCCCCGCCCTGGACGGACAGGGGTGCCTCTGCAGCCTGGGCTCCTCTCCCCAGGAAGGGCTGGGGCTGGACATTAGCCCCTGCCTGGGGTGTGCAGGACCAACGTCACCGCCTTGGCGGGCCCCCTTTGCCAGGGGAGGCCCTCCTGTGACTGGAGTCGCTTGCAGCCCCCTCCTGGGCAGGCTTCACTCTGCCTGCCTCCACTGGCGTTGGGGACAGAGCGGGGCCTGGGGACCCGCAACCCCAGTCTCGGTGCACCGGGGACAAGGGGTGTGCAGGATGTGCCATCCTCGGTGCCTCCTTCCCGCCCGTCTCGCCCCTCGAAGCCTCACCAGCTCCCAGACGTCTAAGAATGCGAAGCACGTGGGTGCCGTGGGGGAGGGGAGGGCGATGCTTATCTGGTGGAGGCCCGACCTTCTTCCGCCTGCGCGGACCAGGCCACCGCGGCCTCCCGGGAGGAGGAAGGGCGGTGGGAAGGCTGGAACTCGCTGGCCGCCCTCCCCGGGGCTGTGCGGGGAGCTGGAGCGGAGGGCGCCGGCTGCACGGGAGGGGGCCGCTGGCTGGCCGGGAGCCCGGCCGGTTTCCTGCCGATCGACTCCAGGAAACAGGCCCCTCGAGAGCGGGCCGAGTTGGCTGCTCCGGGGGCGTGGGGACTCCCGTCCAGGGAGGAGGGGACCCTGGGCTCAGCCCTCGCTGGGCGCTGGAACTTTGAGCCCAGAAGGTGTGGCGCAGCTGCAGTGCGGCCCACACGCAGGAAGGGGAGATTTGCGGGCTGGGGCCCCTGGCGGGGAAGCCGGGTGGGAGGGGCCGGGGGACCCTCCCTACCCCTGTGTGTAGAGCCCCTTCGTTCCCCAGCCCTGCAGAGGCCACTGGTCCACACCTCTGCTACGATCCTGGGCTGCTGGCTGGAGGCCTGGGAAGGTGCCGACTGGGCCCCCAGCTCTGGGTTCAAAGGGCAGTGCGCGAAAAAAACCTCGGAGCCGTTACCTGGGTGACAGGTGGGAGGGGTGGGCTGGGGTACAGAGGTGCCAGCAGGCTGCTTGAGGGTAGGGAGGAGCCCTCACCCTGCCCACACTGTAGCCGGCCTTGGGTCATCTGGCCCCTCCTGCCAAAAATCTTCAAAAGTGCATTCTTTGGGCTCTGTGCGCACCCTGCAGACTTGGCCTAGCTCCAGAGCTCTGTGGGCCTTTGCCCCTCTGGGGCGTCCTGGTGGAGAGCGGCCTGGCCCTCCTCCCCCGTGCCCCGCCCTCCACTCTGAACCTGGAGCCCTGTCCTCTCCTGGCCAGCAGGAGCTGGATGCGCAGCGGGGGAGGCCACCACTGCCTTTTGGAATGCCAGTGTGAGGGGACTCGGGCACAGCCCCACACCCTGTCCTTGACCCCCCCCCCCCCAAGCCTGGATTGTCTATTGTTACTGCTTTTACGTCTTGGAAAAAGTTAGCACAACAAAGGGCTCCTTTGTGGCTCACCCCTCTACCTCCTGGCCCCCTGTCTGTCCCAGCAGCTGCTCCTGGCCTCTGTGCTCTGAGTTTCTTGTCTGGCCTGGGGAGGCCGAGGTGGAGGAAACTGAGGCAGGGCCACTTGGTCACTGGGGTGGCAGTGATGATTCTGCCAGGCCCATAGGGGTGCGGGTCTGGGGCAGGGGAGGGGACATGGGGCTACGGCAGAGCTGCTGGGAGCAGGCTGGTGGGGAGGTGCTGGGCAGGCCCTGCAGGAGCCCGCAGAGCCCTGGCAAGGCTGTTGGCCTGGTTCTTGTCACCTGCCCCCCGGCAGGCGCTGGTGTGTCTGCAGGCGAGGGGCAGGGGCCGCCTCCTCCCTCTGCCTTGACCTGGGGCCACAGGATAGGACGTGTGTCCGAAGGTTCCTGGGCTCTAGGCATCAGTGCCCGGGGCGCGGATGAGAGCGAGCTGGAATCCACCCATGGCGGGGACACGGGGACACCCTGGCCCTTGGGGGAATCTGGGTTGCCTCAGTCCTGTTCTTATCTGGCACCCTGGGCACACAGCCCCTCCCAGGGCAGCCTGGTTCCGCCCGGGGCGACGGGCACGGGCCAGACACGGGGAGGTTTGGCCAGTGCTCTGCTGGCTGGGTCGCCCCGCCTGGCTGCCCTCTTGGAGCTGAATGACAGGAGGGGTGGGACCCGGGACTGAGGCCAGACAGACCGGGCATTGATGGGAACAGAACCCCTTTGTGGTGCTGGCTCCCTCCAGACATGGGCACCCAGAGGATGGGGGGCCTCTCGTCTCGGGATCCCCTACCTGCCTGTCTGCGCGCTGCCCCGCACTTGTGCCTCTGCGGTGCACACCCTGCCCAGTCCCCGATTGTCCATGGGGGAGGGGCTGTGGCTGCTGGCAGAGGGGCAGGAGGGGAGCGGACGCAGAGGGGTGAGCTGGCAGCCTGCTTGGAGTATCCTGTTGACCCCCGTTTCCTCTGCCCTGGCTCGTGTCCTCTTCCCTGCTCCTCAGGCCTTAACGCCTTCCTGTCTTGGGGGAGCCTGCCCAGGGTGCCCCGAGCCACTCTGCACCCTAGAGTGCAGCCTGGCCTTCGCACACACCCGTCCCAAGGTTTAAATCCCATCTTCCTGGTGTTGACAGTGGGGTCCCAGGGAAGCGGACAGGAGTGGCCGGGGGTTAGACACCCCCTCCAGGCTCAGCCCCGGGAGGCAGGTGGGCGGGGCCCTGCTGGCCACCTGGGTCCCTAACTGCCGCCTCTCCTCTCCCCCAGCCATCGAGACCCAGAGCAGCAGCTCCGAAGAGATCGTACCCAGCCCGCCCTCGCCGCCACCCCTGCCCCGCATCTACAAGCCCTGCTTTGTCTGCCAGGACAAATCCTCAGGCTACCACTATGGGGTCAGCGCCTGTGAAGGCTGCAAGGTGAGCGGGGTCTCGGGGGGGCCTCAGTGAGGCGCGGTTCGCCGCTGCTGCCTAGGCCTGAGTGTGCACAGTCCCGTGTGGCTGGCCCTGAAGTCTCCCTTCTCTGGGAGTTGGCAGCAGCCTGGGAAGGGACACAGGCCACCTGCCCTCCGTGGCAAGCAGGGCTCCCCCAAACGGAGATCCTCTCTGGGCTCAGCCCCTCTCCACGTCTCCATCGCCCGGCTGGCAGGGCGTATACCGGTTCTGCCACCGCTGCACAGGTTGCCATGGTGAGCTGGCTGCCGATGGCTCCTGGCCGCGGACTTGGGAGGCCTGCCCTCTGCCGCTCTCCTGAACCTTGCCGTGCAGCCTGGAGGAAGGTGGAGAGTGGGCACCCTGCCTTGGTCTTCCCTTCAGGTGCCCAGGCTATGGGCTCCGGGTGCAGGTGTGGCTTGGCTTCCCAGCAGCTCTGGGCCGGGCGTCCCCTGTGGCTCTCCTCGGGGGCTGCACAAGATTCCTCTGCCAGGGACCAGGGCTTAAGTGCTGCCAGCGCGGCCAGGGGTGGTGGTGCACACCTGTTATTTGGGGGTTGCTGAGGCAAGAGGGTCAAAAGTTCAAGGGCAGCCTGAGTGATTTAGGAAAATCCTTGTCTCAAAATAAAATAAAAGGGGCTGAGGAGGAAGCTCAGCGCTCCTGGGTTCAGTCCTCAGTAGCACCATCAAAAATTAGGAAGCGGCCCAGCTTCTGGGCCAGGCTCCGGGCCACCCCTCAGCCTGGAGCGGCCATCCCAGTGGCGAGACAGGCCCGGGGCCATGCACAGGCCTCACGCGGGGTCTGCTTGTCCCGAGTCTGCCTGTCTGTGCAGCCCTTGCACATCCGCCTGGTCACTGCGCTGCGCCTGAGTGTGCACGAGGGTGTATTTGTTCCTCTGTCCTGCTTTCTCCACCTCTTCCTGAGGCCTGAGGCCTGGGGTGTGGGTTCCAGGTGTCTGCGTCACATGCATCCAGCCCCAGTGTCCGCGTTCTGTCTCCTCAGCCCTGCTGACATCCTGTCCTCAAAAGAGAGGACGTGGGTGCAGCTGGGGTCCTGGGTCCCCCCAGGAGCATCCTTGGGGCCGTCACCGTTCAGGTGGGTGATGGGCCAGGCCCCAGTGCCAGGCCATGGCTGCCTGACTCCCTTCCTTCCACACCCAGGGCTTCTTCCGCCGCAGCATCCAGAAGAACATGGTGTACACTTGTCACCGGGACAAGAACTGCATCATCAACAAGGTGACCCGGAACCGCTGCCAGTACTGCCGGCTGCAGAAGTGCTTCGAAGTGGGCATGTCCAAGGAGTGTGAGTGCACAGGGCTTGCGCTGGGCAGGGCACTCGGGCTGGGCGGAGGACAGGCTGCGTGTGTGTGGCTGTGGGTCTGAATGTGGGTCCCTGCTGTAGGGTAGCGTGCACGGAACCGTTGTCTTTGCATGCCCAGCTGTGTGTGTGCTTGTCTGCACCCAGTGGGTTCCATCCCGGCCCTCATGGCTTTGCAGCGGGGCTGGGAGCCTCTCAGGGACAGGATCTGAACCCTGGGCCAGAAGCCGTTGTCTGAGGAAGTCTGAGCCTGGAGCTGCAGAAGAGAACTGGGGTCCTTGAGGCATGGGGGTGTCCCGGTTGGGCCCAGCTGAGGCCCCTGCAGGGAGGGCGGGGAAAGCTGGACAGGGAGACCCTCTTGTGTTGAATCATGAGTGTTGCTATGGTGACCAGTGATTGATGATGTCAGAGATAAATGACGCTGACAGACGCCTCCTTGTCTGCGTGGCCGTTGCCATGGAGCCTGAGCCTTGGGGGATGCAGTGGGGGAGGGGGCTGCAGGACCCCCGAGCTCTTTGTGGGGAGGGAAGTGGAGAGGAAGTGGGGCATTAGGGAGACATGGGGCTGTGGGCCGACTCGGCCTGGTGCCCCAGGAAGGAACTGAGGGGACCTGGGCATGTGGACACCTGGAGCCAGGGGAGGCAGGGCCCTGGCAACTTGGACCTGCGGGCCTGGAACGCGCGGCTGACGGGGGCTGAAGGGCCATCACCTCCTCCGTCCCTCCCTCTGGGCCACCACCTTCTGCTCTTCCCTGCAGAAGGACCCGGGTGCGGACCCCTCTCCTGTCCAGGCACAAACTCCCCCTTTCTCTCCCTCCTTCCCCTCCGGCTGCTCCTGCTCGTGCCCGTGCCCGGAGCTGAGCAGCTGCCATTTCAATAGAATTAAAGCTTCCGAATGATAAACGTCTTGTCACAGCTGCAATTTTCTCTTCCCAAATTATCCCCCCACTCTCCTGCTCCCTCTCCCTTCTCTCCCCTGCACTTTATTGAATTTGCAGAATCGACATGAGTGATCTCCAAATTATGCGGGGGGGGGGGGCCTCCCCGGCCCCACCCCCCACTCCCTTCCTCCCTGTCAGTAGCCTCCGCCTCTGGCCCAGTGAGTGATTGTGTGTCTGGTATAATCGGCTGGTAACGACCCCATCGCTTCTTTAAAGCCGAGTGGTGTGTGCGGCTCAGCGCCCCTGGTGATTTGTCAGCTCTCCCGCTAGTGGGCCCAGAGTCTCCACTTGCCCCCAACTCTGGGCTGGGGAGCCCCACTCCCGCCGGCTGCCCCAGAGCGGCTCGAGTCAGTCCCAGGGCCCCCGGGAGGGAGGCTGTTGTTGGGAGGGTGGTGGCCGTGCGGGCTCAGTAGGTCCCTCCCAGGGGACAGAGCAGGGAGGCAGGCCGTGTGCAGGATCCCTGCCCCATGCCAGGCGTGTGTCGTGTATGTGGCCACCCCTGTGTGTGTGTGGGTCCGGTGGACTTGGAGGGCCAGAGCGGTGAGTCCTTGCCTGCCTGTGCACGTGTGTGCACCTGAGCGTGCTTGCGTGTGCATGTGTGTGCGTGTGTGTGCATGCGCGTGCACTGGCCGGGGTGGAGCAGCGGGGAGCTGGCCCGTGGGGCACACTCAGGCCGTGCCTGACCTAGACATGGGGTGCACGCTGTGGCCGCCACCCCCTGACCACTCTGCGCACTCCTGCATCCCCCACAGCGGTGAGGAACGACCGGAACAAGAAGAAGAAGGAGGCACCCAAGCCAGAGAGCTCGGAGAGCTGCACGCTGACGCCCGAGGTCGGGGAGCTCATCGAGAAGGTGCGCAAAGCGCACCAGGAGACCTTCCCCGCCCTCTGCCAGCTGGGCAAATACACTACGGTACGGCGCCCGTCGCCTCTGGAGGAGGCCAGGCCCGGGGCCAGCTGACGGAGCCGCGCGGTGCATGCTCACTGTCCCCTCCCCCAGAACAACAGCTCGGAGCAGCGTGTGTCACTGGACATCGACCTCTGGGACAAGTTCAGCGAGCTGTCCACCAAGTGCATCATCAAGACGGTGGAGTTCGCCAAGCAGCTGCCTGGCTTCACCACCCTCAGCATCGCCGACCAGATCACCCTCCTCAAGGCTGCCTGCCTGGACATCCTGGTGAGGCCCCGCCCCGTCCACGCCCTGAGCGGCAGGCTGCACACGCGTCCACCCACGTCCACACCGTCGCCGGTCACCTGGTGGGGTCATCTGGTGGGGCTGGTCCTAAGTGGGGTGTCGGGGGCCAGGTCCCCACACCCCACATCCCATCCTGACACCTTCCTGCACGTGGCCTGGCTGGGAAACAGGCCACACGAGTGACAGGGACCCTGGCAGCAGGGGCCAGTGTCCTGGAGCAGTGATCTCTGGGGCTGCTGTAGGAGGGAAAGGGAGAGGGCGTCCTTCTTAGGAGAAGGCTGGTCAGGACAGCAGGCCTCGGGGCCACCAGGGCGCCTGTCACCGAGCACGAGCTCGGTCCATCTGCTCCCTCTCCACATTCTGGGATGGGCAGCTGGGGTTGGGTTTGGGTAGGAGCGGGGTCCATGTGGCTGGGCCAGGATGTCTTCACAGCCCCTGTGCTGCTTGCATCTGGGAGCTGGGCTCCCCCAGATTCCCTGGCTGGATGCAGGGCCTGTCAGCCTCATCTCCAGCGCTCTGGGCCACCTCGAGGGTCCCCGGGGGTGCGGGCTGCAGTGCGGGGGAGGTCAAGGCCTGAGCTGCGCCCTTCACCCCAGATCCTGCGGATCTGCACGCGGTACACGCCGGAGCAGGACACCATGACCTTCTCCGATGGGCTAACCCTGAACCGGACCCAGATGCACAACGCTGGCTTTGGTCCCCTCACCGACCTGGTCTTTGCCTTCGCCAACCAGCTGCTGCCCCTGGAGATGGACGATGCAGAGACGGGGCTGCTCAGCGCCATCTGCCTCATCTGTGGAGGTGGGCAGGGGCCCGGGGCACGGCTCTGTCCAGGCCCCCACGGGACACTGAGGCACGGGGGCCAGACCTGGTCTGGCCATGTGGGAAGGCAGTGACGGGCGGCCCGAGCTTGGGCGCCCTGAGTGTGGGCAGCGCGTGTGCAGGGCATGAAGAGCTAGGCCTGGAAGGCAGATGCCCATACTCGAGTCCTGGGCCACTGCGGGAACTTAAGCAGGTTGCCAAACGTCTGGAAGCCTCCCTTTCTGTCCAAGGGGGCATGACTGGTCTCTACCTCAGTAAGCTGGGTGAATGTTGGCTCAGTTCGTGTTCATTGCTGTTATATTTATTTTTAAATTTTTTCTTTTTTCTTGTTTTGGTATCGGGGATCAAATTCGGGTCCTTGCTCTTGTGCAGCAGGCTGCAAAACCACTGAGCTAAATCCCCAGCCCTTCATTTTTGGTTTTTTGAGACAGTCTCGCTATGTAGTGGAGGCTGGCCTCGAACTCACAGCGATTCTCCTGCCTCAGCCTCCCGAGTGCTGGGATTACAGGCGTGCGCTCCCACGACAGGCATTTGTTACTATTTTATTGTGATTTCCACCTTGTCACCCAGGTGTTCTGAGTACTGATGGGTGTGACTGGGCAGCCAGCTGGGAATCCTTTCCCTGCGTGCGGGGGCATCCCAGCCGCACAGGCTGTTGGGGGCAGCCCCTGCTCCCAATCCTCTGTCCCCACCAGCCGCGCGAACCCCTGCGCCCTCTGCCCTGCCCTGCCCTGCCCTGCCTTGCCCTGCCCTAGGAAGCGGGGGCCGCCCTGACCTGGCCGGCGCACACGCGCCCTCCGGTGGCCGAGGCCGGGAGTGCAGCTGAGCTCTGTCCTGGCGCCTCCTAGACCGGCAGGACCTGGAGCAGCCCGAGCGGGTGGACCTGCTGCAGGAGCCGCTGCTGGAAGCGCTGAAGGTCTACGTGAGGAAGCGCAGGCCCAGCCGCCCGCACATGTTCCCCAAGATGCTCATGAAGATCACCGACCTGCGCAGCATCAGCGCCAAGGGTGAGCCTGTCCCTGCCTGGGCCCACATGACGTCCTGCTCGTCTGGACCCAGCCTGTCCCGTCCGCGGCAGTTAAGGGCTCAGTTCTGGAGTCAGGTTGCATGGCTATCACTCACATCTCTGAGCCTCAGTTCCCCACCAGAGGAGCGGGACAGTGATAGTATTTTTTCTTGCTGTGTAGCCCAGGCTGGCCTAGAACTCATGGTGATCCTCCTGCTTCAGCCTCCCATCCTGGGATCACAGGCCTGAGCCGCCACGCCTGGCTTAGTGATAGGATTTTGAGGCTTTGCTGCCCTGTCCCAAGCCCCAGTTCAGGGGCTCCAGGGAGCTGCACGCGTGAGGTTCCGCGGCCCGAGCAGGCCTCCTGCCGGGCCGCCCCTGACTCGCCGCCCTCCCCCAGGGGCTGAGCGCGTGATCACGCTGAAGATGGAGATCCCGGGCTCCATGCCGCCGCTCATCCAGGAGATGCTGGAGAACTCCGAGGGCTTGGACACTCTGAGCGGACAGCCGGGGGGCGGGGGGCGGGAGGGCGGTGGCCTGGCCACCGCGACGGGTAGTTGTAGCCCCAGCCTCAGCCCCGCCTCCAACAGAAGCAGCCCGGCCACCCACTCGCCGTGACCACGACCGCGACCGCGGCGCCCGATGGACACAGCTCCCGCCCCACGCTCCGGCTTTCTCCGCCTCCCACCGACTGCGTGACCCCCGCCAGCGTGGACGCCCGCGGCCCAGGCTGACCTGGGCACCTTCCGGGGACGGCAGGGGCGGACTGTGCTCTCCCGCAGCCCGGCTGGTGACCCCTGGTGGCGGGAGGACCAAGCCGGGACCCCGCCCGCCGCGCCCACCTTCATCACCAGCAGGTGCCTGGCCGGCTCCCTATCCCGAACTCAAGCCATCGCTCCCCGCTCGGGGACCCGCCCTGCCTCGGTTGGTGACGGGGTGGCCGGGGTGGGGTCCCCCCTGTACATACCCCGCCATACCAACCCCCAGGTATTCTCGCTGGTTTTGTTTTTATTTTTAAATTTTTTTTGTTTTGATTTTTTAAATAAGAATTTTCATTTTAAGCACATTTATACTGAAGGAATCCGTGCTGTGTATTGGGGGGAGCTGGATCCAGAGGTGGGGGTGGAGAAGCTCCCAGGGCTCCTTCCCCTCCTTGTCCCGCGCCCCGGCCCCCAGCCGCTCCTCCTCGGTCCTCTTAATACTGTGAAGTGCTAACTTTCGAGGCCCGAGACCCTCCTGCAGTGGCACCCGGCCCCCTCTGCCTGCCGCCCGCGCCGGGTGTGGACGCCTCGGCCTGGCGCGGGGTGCGGCGTGGCCGGGGGCTCGACCGCAGAGCACGCGGGGCCCCCATCATCCGAGGGGCTGCCCGGGGTCCCTGCTGCCTCGCCCCAGCCTCAGCCACCAGCACCCCTGCCCCCAGACACACGCGCGTGCACACATGCACGCGCACACACGCGCACGCACTGTGGACACAGGCGGCCGACACGAGGCCGAGTCCCGTCCCGGCCCCCCCCCCGCGCCCCCCTCCCTCCTTGACCCGCCCCCTCCTTGACCCGCAGGCCGGGCCTGGAGGCCCCTCCGTCCCGCACTGGCCGGGCGCGGCTCCTCTTGCAGCCCGGAGCCCCGGTGCACCTGTTACTGTGGGACTCCCACTGAGATCTACTGGATAAAGAATAAAGTTCTATTTATTCTACTGCCTCGCCTCCGCCTCCGGGCTGCGCTCGCGTCTGGGGGGCCGGGGGTCGGGCGGCCAGCGCACCCCGCTCCCGGGCGGCGGACGGAGGTCGGGTTGCAGGGGAGCTGCTCAGCTCAGCACAGACCCAGCTGCTGGGGAAGCTGCGGGTACCCGCGCGTTCCTTTCCAGGAGCCTCTGCCATTGCCGCTTCGCCCGCCAGGGGGCAGCAGCTCCTCACTAACTCCCTGGCCGTGTTCCCGCTGCTGAATACCTCCCTGCACCTGCCCTGCGAACCTGAAGTGGGACAACACCACGCGCCTCCACGCGTGCCTGCAAAACAGTCTGTTCCCGGGAGTGGTGGCGCACGCCTGAGATCCCAGCACTGGGGAGGCTGAGGCAGGAGGATCACGGAGAGTACCATGCTGGGCTAGGCCAGCCTGAACTAGATTGAGACCCTGTCTCAAAAGATAAAAACAAAACAACCAAAACCAACAACAGTAACAAAAAATATGCTATCACAGCTGTATTATAAAAGAGAAACAAGAGAAATGTTGTGTGTTTCAGTACATTAACAGGAGCATTATTATTACAGTTGTTGTTTTTGCGGTGCCAGGGATTGAACGCTGGGGAAGTCCTGTACCCTGGAGCTCCAACCCTCAACCGTCTTACATTTTATACTGAGATGGGGTCCGCTAAGTTGTTCAGGCTGGCCTGGGACTTGTAATCCTCCTGCCTCAGCCTCCCCGTAGCTGAGATTACTGGGGTGTGGACCTCCCTGGTTCTAGCAATGTTTCAAAAAGACCTTGAATTGAAAAGAAGGAAGAAGGCGAAGAGCCCTTCCGCCCTCGAAGCCTGGGAATCCAGAAGGGTGTGGGTGACAGTGAAGGGCTCCAGTGGGATTTGGAGGCCGGGACCCAGGCGGTGTGAGCCCTCTAGGTGCTGTTGACCGGCTGGCCCTGGGCAGCCCGGAAGGGGGGCACTCGGACAAGAGCAGGGAACACAGGGTAAAGTGGGTGGCCAAAGCAACTCTGAGCTGTGGACCCCAGGCAGCGGCACGATGCAGGTGGCCCTGGGGGTGGAGGAGTGCAAGCAACTAGGGAAGCTGGGGTCACCTCTGGGTTGCTTTTCACCCTGCCCCATTGCTCCTTGCTGGCTTCCGCACATTTCTGCCACAGGCCCTTTGTACCTGCCAGTTCCTGCACCCAAATGCTCTTCTGCAGGCAGCTTCCTGGCTCCCCCTTGCCACACTGTGTAAGTGTCACTCCTTAGGGACATCACTCTCTCCCTTCTGACTGCCGCCTGCCATATATTGTGTGCGTTTATTGTCACTACAGCCCAACATCCAGCAGCTGCAGAAGGAGCCTATTCCGAATGGAAAAGCCCTTAAAACACAGTACACGCCAGCCCTGGAAGCCTTCGTATGAACAAAGAACGCTTTTTAATATCAACCTCAGGTTGAAACCATGCCAGTCTGGATATTCTGGAGTAAAGGAAATAGACACTAAAATCGATTTCCCATCTCCTTTTGCTTTGTCCACGCAGCTAATGTCACACATTTCATCAGATAGCTCTATCTCCAATACCTGGCACCCAGCAGGTGCTGAGCAATGTTTGTTGAATGAATATGTCCATGGCTGACAGAACGAATGGCATCAGAGATGGAGGCGGTTCCCGCTGGGAAGGGCAGGAGGCGCCAGGGCCCGCAATGCCTTTTACCAAGCACCTCCACGGCCACGAAAGGCGAGGGACACTCTCCTGGGGGCAGCTGGCTCCGACCTGGGGTGCGGGCCCTCAGGGAAAGCCTTTCCTAAAGCTGTCTGTTTCTCTAAAACGGGCTCAAAGGCAGCAGGCAGAATTCCAGAGGCTGAGGCAGGAGGATAGCTTGCAAGTTCAAGGCCAGCCTGAACTGCATAGGGAGTGCCTGTCTCAAAAAAGCAGAACCAAAACCAGAACCAAACAAACCAAACAAACCAAACAAACCTGAAGGCAGCGGGCAGGCATGAGCTAGCGGAGCTGCGGGTAGCAGAGAGGGCGGCCCCTCAGGCCTAGCCCAGCCTGCCCGGCTCCAAGTCCGCACAGCTGGTTTAGGGGCCAGACGCAGGGGCCGGCGGGCAGGAGGAGCACAAGGCTGAGGGGAGGGGGGGTTGGCAAGGCCGCCATGGCGGCCCAGGAGCGCGGGGACATGGCCGTGGCGTGTCACCTGGTCCCGGGTGAGCTTATCTAGGGGGACCCTACTGTGGGGTGCGAAAGGAGGCCAGTGGAGCAGACCAGGGCAGAGGGCTCTGCGTGGCTGCAGGTGGCTTTGAAAGCCTGGGACAGCCGGGAGCCTGTCTTGGGGGCGCCTGAGCACGGAAGGGACTTAGCAAGGTAACAGCCCGGGGCGGGGGGGGGGGGGAACAGCGGTGGGAAGTGGGGAAGGCGCAGGCCCCGCCGCCCGCCCCCCAAGGGCCTGGCTTCCGGGCGGGCACCGCGTGGAGCACAGCACTGCGCCTGCGTGTGAGGGGCCGCCCCCCCCCCCGCTTCCTGCGTGGCCCCCAGGGGAGGGGACGCCTTCCCGCCGACCAGGGGCTGGGTTAGGTCCGAGCGAGGAGCCCGCGTGCAGAGACACGCGCCCCACCCCGTGTGTATGTGCACGCGCGCTGTGGAGATGCAGGTGTGCATGCAGTTACACGCAGGTGTCGAGTCCCGGCGAGAGGCACGTGTGCAAGTGTGCACCACGAGAACACACACAGGCTCACTAGGATGGGCGTGTGGGCTCGAGGAGGCACGCGGGACACGTCCGGTGCGCACGCACGCCCTCACGCACACCTCCCGAGGAACATGCGCCCATGCACAGGTGTGCACGTGCACACCGGGCGCTCACACGGGCTCCACGCGCACGCGCACGCACACGCGGCTTCCTACGCGTCCACTCTCACGAGGGTGCGCGCTCCCCCGAGCCAGGGCACCGCAGGCGCCGCTGTCGGTTTCGTCCCCGCCTAGGCGGGAACCCGCGTGTCCCCTCGCGGTTTGAGCCCGGGCTGGCTTCGTCTGGGGCCTCGCAGCGCGCAGGATCGCCGCTAGATGGCCAGGTCGCGGCGGGCGGCGGCCAGGGTCGCCTTGCTGCGGCCGCTGCTGGCGTCTCCGTCGCTGGGTGCGCTGTGTGCGTAGGCGGGGGGCGCGCCGGGGTCGCGGTCTGGGTCGGGGTGGGAACTCGGGCTCCGCGCGGCCCGGGACGGCGGCGGCGGGAGCAGCTTGCGGGCGTCCTCCGGGTCGCGGTCCCTGGTGCGCGCGCGACCTTTCCACAGCAGGTGGCCCAGCTCGGCCACGCTGAGCAGCGCGGACAGCATCCCCACGGCGAAGTAGAAGAGCACGAACACCGTCTTCTCCGTGGGGCGGCTCACGAAGCAATCGACCGTGTGCGGGCAGGGCGCGCCAGTGCACGCGAAGCGCGGGGCCACGCGGAAGCCGTAGAGCAGCGCCTGGCCGGCCAGCGAGGCCGCCTCGGCGCCCAGGCGCAGCGCCACGCTCAGCAGGTAGCAGCGGCGCGCGCGGCGGGTCGGCGCCCCCGGCCCCCGCGCGCCCCCAGCCCCTGGCGCGCCCGCGCCGCCCGGCCGCTTGCCCGCCCGGTGCCGGGAGTAGACGGCGAACAGCACGGGCGGCGCCGACAGCAGCAGGATGTGGAAGAGCCAGAAGCGGTAGTGCGACACCGGGAAGGCGCGGTCGTAGCAGGTCTGGCGACAGCCGGGCTGCAGCGTGTTGCACACGAACTCCTCCTGCTCGTCCTCGAACACGGCGCCGCCCACCGTGGCCAGCACCAGGATACGGAAGATCAGCATGACCACCAGCCACAGGCGGCCCAGTAGCGGCGACTGCAGCTGCACGGCGTCCAGCAGCGAGCCCAGGAAGGCCCACTCGGCCATGGCGCTGGGGACGGCGGCGCGAGTCAGGCGCGGGGAGCCTGCCCACCCTCGGGGGAGCCTGGCAGTGGGTCCCCGCACCTTGGGCCCCGCCCGGACTCTCAGGACCCAGAAGGCCCCACCTGCCTGGCCATCTCCCACCGCACGCAGGACGGGGCTAAGCCAAGGTGGCCCCGCTCCAGGGTCCCCCACCCCACTCCCACATCCCGCAGGGCCCTGAGCCCCCAGACCCACCCCACCCCACTCACCCAGGGCCGGGCTGGACCCTCACGGGGCAGCGGGGCAGCAGGGACGCCGGCTGGGACCTGTCCCTCCCGGGCCCTCTTTCATTTTCCCTTTCGGGTTGGAGCCGGGATGGAGGACAGGACAGGGTGGCTGAGGGGCTCGCCTCCCCCTTCTCTTAAAGGGACAGGGACAGGGTGACCCTGCTGATGGCAGCTCCACCCTGGCCAGGCTGTTTCCATCCCCCGTGCCAGCCCCTCCCGGGTTATCACCGCCTGCAGATGGGGCTGGGGTCACCCGGAGCTGCATCCTGTGCCAGGTGACCGGGGCCCACCGCAGCTGGTGTCCCTGGCATGTCTCGGGGCTGGCATTTAGGTGTCACCTTCTGCCCCTGCTCCCACTAGGCTGTGGCCACTCTGGGCCGGGATCGCCCGGCAGTCACCCGAGGAGGCCGGCCAGCTGCCCCCAGGATTTGGTCTGTCCAGCACCGTGTTCACACTCAGGTTCCCACTGTTGCGGAAAACCCCAGAAAGCACTGTGTGGAAACCCAGGAGGTGCCCAGCAGGGCCAGCCTTGGGCCTAAACAAAGGTTCGGCTTCTTTCCTGTTCCCTGACTTGCAGTTGCTGGGATGAACACCTTGGTTGGTTGGTTTTAAGACAGGCCGGGCAGTGTAACCCAGGAACCTGCGACCTTGTGCTTGTGAGGCAGGCGGCGGAACCACTGGGCTGAGTCCCTGGCCCTGCCCCTGAGCTCTTGATCCTCCTGCCTCAGCCTGCAAGTGCTGGGATGACAGATGTGTCTGTGTAGAGGTGCAGGTGCTCCTCTGCTCTGGGGGAGGGTGGCCGATGCAGACTCTGCAGGGCGAGGGGACCCCCGCACCTCCCCAGGAGCCTCCCAGCCTGCACAGCATCCTGAGCCCAGCACTGTGTACATCAGGGAAACTGAGGCCAGGGGGTCATGCAGCAGGTGTGCTTCAGCCTGGCTGGCTTTCCCAGGGGGCGTCTGGGACCAGGCTGTCCCTGGGGCTTGCGTGGGGCTGGAGGCTGCCACGTGGAGGTGGCCGGACCCTTCCCTGTTCCTCTTCGGGGGAGGACACAGGCCCTGGGCCCCGCCCAGCCTGCAGCGCTCAGGGTTGTGCCCGGGTGGGCTCCCGCCTGGTCTCCTCCCGCCTCAGCACTCCCTCTGGAGTGGCCTGGGTGGGGGGCGCCACCCTGGCCAGAGTCCAAAGGCGCAGCAGGAGCCCGGGCCCCACATGCTGGAAACAGGATGTGGGGGGGCTCCGCGGGTCTCCCCTCTCCCGCTGAGGCAGAGCTGTCACCCGCGCCCCTCCTGCTGTCCCGGGCCTATCCCTGCCTGGCCCAAGGCCCAGCCTGGAAAAACCCATCAGACCCCGCCTGAGTGGGGCGCAGAGGGGTCCAGGCGGGCGGGTGGGGAGCCTGGGCCACCCGCACTGTCCCCCAGCGCGAGGCCACAGCGCGGGCACGGGCGCCTGCCCGATAGCGGAGGTGTCGCTGATGCTGCGCAGAGCTGACCACAGCGGCCTCCCGCGCGCGCCCCCCGGCGGTTAAGTGTATGTCTCATCCGGCCTGGGACAACCCACGGCCTTGGGCGAGCAGGGCCGAGCCACCCAGCTGATCCCCGGCCCTTACTTCTCCTTTTCAGTGGGTTTCTTGCGTAAAAACTCCCAAGGACCTGCGGTCATGCCAGGTGTAACCGGGTCAGGGTCCGGCTGAGTGGGACAAGGCCTCCCGGCCCACCCGCTGGCTGCCACCCAGTGACTCGCGGGGCGTGGTGGGTGTCCTCAGCGGGCAGGTCGGGCACCACGCTGTGCAGGGCGACAGACCGGGTGGGCGGGTGTGTGGGAAGCCTGTGAACGCGGTTCCTCCGGTGCTGTCCAAAGAGGGACCGCAAGCCAGCCTCGCCTGTCAGCCCAGAGCTTGGGAGGCTGAGGCCGGAGCATCAGACCGAGTTCAAGGCCAGCCTGGACTAGACTCTGTCTCAAAAGAAGAGGAGCTCCCTGTGACCTGGCCCGAGCACCGGGTCGGAGGACGCTGCCCCCTCGCCCGCACCCTGGGTGCCTGGCGCCCCGGCAGCCTGCTGGGGTCTGGAGAGGCTCCGGGCTGTGGAAATCGAGGAACATCTGTGATCAGTTCCCGGTGTGGCCCAGTTCTTTGCTTCCGAACCAGAACTGTGTTACTTTTATGAACAACAACAGAAAAGGCATTTTTGTTTTGATAGAAAATATTTGCTGGTTTGAAAACTACAGAAGAGTCCAGAAAAGAAGATAGAAACCACCCAAATTGCATCCAGAGAAGCAGCTGAAGTTCGGCTGTGACCGCTGTGTGCCCATTGGTGCCCAGGGCAGCGGTTCCCAACATCATGGCACTGAGAATCAGCAGGACGGCTCGCTGAACAAAGGCTCCCATCCTAGCCCTCGGAGGCTGCGGCAGGAGGATCGCAAGGCCAAGTCCAGCTTGGGCAACTTTGTGACACGCTGTCTCAAGATACAGAGGAGAGCCTGGGTTCAGTGACCAGCAGCGCAAACCCAAGACAAGTGCTTCTCAGCCGGCGGGCCTGGGTGGGACGGCGCCTGGCGTCTCTCACTCCCGGGCCCAGGGAACACACGGCAGAGTGACTGGCCTTCGGGTTATGCCTTCGTTATTTCAAGAAGGGGCCACAACCTGTGGTGCTGGCATCACTCGGGAACTTGTGAGAAATGCAGAATCTGAGGCCCCAGCCCAGCCCCATTGAATCGGAAGCTGTACTTTCTCAGCAGGACCCCTGAACACTCTGTAGCTGGCGTGGTGCTGCACGCCTGTCATCCCAGCGCTCAGGAGGCTGAGGGAGGAGAGTTGCGTTTTCAAGGTCAGCCTGGGGTACATAGTGAGACCTTGCCTCAAAAAGAAAGCACCGATGTGCGCAGGACTGGCTTATATTTTGAGCATTATACTGTGTTACAGAGCTTCGCCCTAGATCACTGATACAATTTACACACAATAAATGTGCCATTGTGGAGCTCTGATAAAATTACACAGGACCGTCTCCCATCTTTTCTGTCTGCTCACCAGGACTTTCCTGTACAGTTAAATGTTTTGGGAAAACAGGATCTTTCTTTGCAGTGCAGGTTGTCCCTGAACTCACTGTGTAGCCCAGGGTGGTCCAACTCAGTGATCCTCCTGTCCCAGCCTCCTGCATGCTGAGATTAGAGGCATGCAGTGAGCGATTCGGGACACATAGTTTTTGTTCTGGTTATTTTTGTACTGGGAATTGAACCCAGGGCCTTTGCATTGAGTGGTATTCCCATCCCTTCTTTAAAGTTTTGAGACAGGGTGTCACGAAAGTTGCCCAGGTTGGGCTGGAGCTTTTGATCCTCCTGCCTCAGCCTCCCAGAGTGTTGGGACTACAGCCATTCACTCACACCTGATATTTAAATATCATTTAAATATTCTAGACTGCCTGCAGTGGTGGAGCAAGCCTATAATCTGAGCAGTCGGGAGGCTGGGGCAGGAGGACTGCTGTAACTTCGAGGCCAGCCTGGACTACATAGCCAGAGCTTGTCTCAAAGACAACCGAAAAAGAAAAACTATTTCTCGTTCCGCATCCAGTCACAGAGCCCCAGCTCCTGGACTGCCAAAGCCCATCCAGCTTGTCAGAAAATGAACAGTCTGCAAAGGGCTTATTTTATTCATTTATTTTTTTGAAAAGGACTTATTTTAAGATGAGGAAAAGGCTTAGTACAGGTTTAAAAAAGGGGAAGCATTGGGGCCGGGGATTTAGCTCAGTGGTTCCATCGCTTGCTTTGCAAGCGGAAGGACCCCAGTTCGATCCCCAGTACCAAAAAAAAAAGGGGAAGCATAAGTTGTGATGTTTAGATCATTTTGTTACAGTATAAAATTTCTGGAAATGAGCTAACTAGAAAGACAAAGTAAGTATTTACAGAAACATCGACGACATCAACAAGGAACACGGAACAGCACAGGTCTTGAGGTTTCCAGGCTGGATTCTGGAGACTTCCAGGAAGGTCGGGCGGTCGCCAGAGCGTGGGTGAGCACAGCGGCTGATTGATGCTGGCCGGGCAGTGGTGGGGCGAGTGGAGTGGTTGGGCACGGGTATAGTTCCTCCCGCCTGCCCACTGTGTGGAGGTCACGTGGACTTAGCCGAGGTGGTTTTCTTCAGCCTCTGATGAATTTAAAAGGATACAAGCAATTTCTCATTGCTTACACAGAAGTTCAGCACATGATAGGCTGAGCGGATAGCATTCGTACAGAACCGTCAAGTCCTATGGGATGGCACACTGCCTGTAAGCCGGGTGCTCCATCTTGTAGTGACAGTAGGAGCGGAGGCAGAGGGACACTTTAAATCAAAGCGCTCGCATAAGTCTGGGAGAGATTAACATTAACATCACCTTTACAGATGAAAGAAAACACAAAAGACAAAGACAAAATGGGAGATAACAGTGCCCAGGTCCCTGTGGGAGCTGGGAGCTGCCCGCTGCCCTCCTCGGTCCTCCCTCGGGCTCCCCTTCCTTCCCTCTGAGGTCCCGTTTAAAATACCTTCCAGCCTGAACCAGAGGAAGGGGACTAAGACCTTAGGGTAACTTTAAAACTAGTCTTGGGCTCAGTAAGACTATTCCGTAAAGCAATCACCGCAGTTTAAAACAGGTCATCATCGTCTGAGTCTTCTAGGTACTTTATAGGCTTCTTTGTGCGCCCGGATTTTGCCCGAGGAGTCACGGAGGAGTCGAGGGCCATCTGGAAGTCATCGCTCTCGGCCTTGGATTTCTAAAGAGAAAAGCCACGTGATTTGTTTTTTGGTACCGGGGATTGAACTCAGGACCTTGCGCTTGCGAGGCAGGCACGCTGCTGGAAGCCAAGTAATTTGCACCACATAAACCCAACAGCGTAATTTCTACCCTGCAATCTGGGCTTTCCCCTTCCACCTAGTAGTAAGAAATAGATGCAAGGGGAAAAAAAAAAAGAAAGAAAGAAATGCAAGGTAGAACTGTCCCAGTGCTTAAGTTGGGTCATAATTAACTTTGTAACAACTAAATAAACTTTGTAATAACTACACAGGAAAAATTAATAGATTAGGAGTTTATTGTATCAAAAATATGTCAAATTATTAGCAAATGCTCACGTGTCTCAAAACATCTACAGTGGGGCTGGGGGGTTTAGCTCAGTGGTTCCGCCGTCTGCCTCACAAGCACAAGGCCCCAGGTTTGATCCCCGGTACCAAAAAAAACCACAACAGCAACAAAAAAACATACACAGCAAGCTGGGCATGGTGGCACACACCTCTGATCCCAGCTCTAGGGAGGGAGAGGCAGGAGGATTGGAAGCTCGAGGACAGACTGGGCAACTTATCGAGACCCAGTCTTAAATTTTAGAAAGGGCTAAGGATGCAGCTCAGTGGTACGGCACCCCAGTTCAACCCTCAGAAGCATCCCACCTCCTCCCAAACCCCCAAACCAGCAACAAAGACGCAACAAAAGGATAAAACGGGGATAAATACCTTGCTTGTGGCTCCTTTAGAAATGATTTTCTCAAAGTTAGAATCCGAATCATCCGAAGTGGATGGCTTCCTTTTGCGTCGATACTTGGTTTTGGCGGGATCGGGCTTTGCAGAGGCCTCAGAATTCAAGGCTGGGTCTTTTTTGGCTCCTTTTGGTGCTGCCCTCTTTTTGGTTCCAGCAGTGGAGGCAGAAGACTGACCTGCAAGTCAGCCCAGGCATCATCATCGTCATTCTCTATACTTTCTCTGTACTGGGGGTTGAACTCAGAACCTTGCGCTTGTGAGGCAGGCGCGATCAGTCATTCTCTGGCTTTCTCCTCACTGTGAACTTTCTTTAGCCACCTGACTGTGGACATCTGACGTAGGAAAAGGATCTGAGAGAGCTGGAAATAGTTACTTCTAGAGAACTGAAGTACTCTTAAGCATTCCGTTTTTAAATTATGTTTTAAGATCGAACATTTGCAACTGCTTATATATATTTTGTAACCCTGTTACAGAAATGAGCTATATGCCTGGCATTCTGAGAAGCATGCTGGCTTTCAGCTTCCTGACTATACTGTTATAAAGATCTAAAAGAAACTGCTTCCATTTGGAAAATGTCTTACTGCGATGTCAGTAGCAAGTTTTCACAGAAAAAGGAATAGGCCTGGGGAAGCCGGTCGGGAACTCCAGCGCTGACCTGAGCCAAAGGTCTAGGGTTACCTTTTGCTGTGGTCTTCTTCATGGTCGCGCTTCTCTCAGGAGGTGGCTTTGTAGCCTCAGGCTGGGCTGGGAGGTCAGCAGGTGGCTCCCTGTCCTCAGCACCTGCAGCCTCCAGGCCGGTTACTTTACGTGGCCAGGAGAGCGGGGAAAGCAGCACATGAGAACCCTCTCACTGCGTGTCCCTGCTGCCCTGCCAGTTACTGTTTAAACACTCTTCCCCAACACTTTAACCACACTCCGACAGCTTTGTTCTAATTTCTGAACTCTTCACAAGAGCCCTTTGTATCTTTAGCATCTCTAGCACCTAGCACGGTACCTGGCTAGTGCTGTGATTACATTTAGTACATTAAGTTGGGAGCCCTAATAAACAACAGCGAGAGTGCTAATGAGAACTCCAGTTCATTTTCAAAGTACTTGGATAATGTGGACCCGAATGCCCCGGTGAAAGCAGACGTCTTACTGTTTCTATTAAATACACACCTGACACGGTGATTTTCTGTGGCTTTGGTTCTCTTTTTGTAAATCTAGAAGAAAAAAACAACAACATCCTGAGAACCAGCTGTTCAGTGTATCAAACAACACAAATCATATTGTCTACTATGAGAAACAAGGCTGACAAAATCCGCCTTAAAGGTGCTTACTTTGGGGGAGTTTTGGCCTTAGGAGGACTAGCATCTGATGGGACAAAATCGTCTTCTTCAGCTTTTTCATCAGAATCTGAGAAATCTTCATCTGAATCCAAATCCATTGTAAATTTGGTTTTTGCTGTTAAAAATATACATGTAGGGCCGGGGATTTAGCTCAATGGTTCCACTGCCTGCCCTGCAAGCGCAAGACCTGAGTTCGATCCCCGGTACAAAAAAAAAATACGTATAAGGAACCAGAGGGCAAGAAAACCACTTAGGCACATACTGATGTAACACTTCACGTGCATGTAAACTTCCATTTAACCCCCTAAAAATGTTTCAGTTTTTCAAACAGTATAATTTACCACTCAGAAACAGTGATTTCCAGGACTAAGCCCCCTCAAGTTCTTGGCCGGCTTACATCAGCCTATCTGGCATGTTCTTCAGCTTCCTTACCTGCAGCTCTCCGTGGCTCTATTTCTCGTGGCGGGACATCAAAATTACTTTCAGTACTACTCATATCTGATTCTGAATCAGACCAGGGGTTTCTCTTCTTTCCTTTTCTGATAGGTTTAAATGGCAAGGTAGTTTGTTTCTTTGCCCGGGCACCTAGAAGGGAGACAGAAATGAATCAATCACTTGTGGACCTCAGACTCAGCTTTCTCCATCCACCACTCGGCCACACTTCCGAGGCTCCCTGAGCACGGAGGCGGTGCCGGGAGCAGGCTGATGAGAGAAATGGACAGGCTGCTCGCTCAGCACAGACACGATGTAAGGCATGTCGTGCATGATGGCTCCTTCCCACGCCCACCGTGGTCACACACGCCCCGCCTCCCACCCCTCATAACTTGGGCAGCTCCGGAACAGCTCCGCGTGGCCCTTTCCAGTCTTGTGGGGAATTTACCTCTGGTTCACCTAGTTCCTGTTCCCTAATCAAATCTAACCAATCTCCCCCACAACGCAGTGCTTACCGACTTTCTGCTGTTTTCCAGTAGAGAACTTCCCCATTGAGGAGACCTCTGTCCTGTGCACACCACACGCTCATGTTTCTTCTCCCAGTCTTACCAACTGTGCAGGTTCTAACCGAGCGCTGTCTTTATAAAGCCTTTGTAATCAGTAGGAGCCCACGCTGACCTCAACCTCTCTGTAGACCCCTACAGTGCCCACCGTGCAGTGCCTGCTTGCCCTCCTTTCTTTCCTCCACTGAGGAGTGAACCTAGGCAGTGCAGACTCCACTCGCTACCCCTTGTTTTTGGTAGTGGAGATCAAACTCAGGACCCTGCGGTTGCCAGGCAGGTGGGGTGCCACTGAGCTAGATCCCCGGCCCCCACCCCCCTTTTTGAGATAGGGTCTTGCTAGCTACCCAGGCCGGGCTCCAACTCATCCTCCCAAATGCTGGGTTCCAAGTGTGCACCACCATACCCAGCTGGTGTCTTTTGTAGAACCCTCCACAGCAACCTCTCGAGGTTTACTAATGCCACACTCTCCCGTTTCTTGTCCCCTCAAAATGCTGGGTACCACGGATGCTCAAAGCGCCGAACTGACTGGTTATGCACCGTACATGACAGATAGCAAGGGTTAGAGGTGCGTGTGTGTGGCAGTGTAGGGCCAATATATAATGCTGCAGAGCAGAGCATGGACAAAGTGTTTTCATTACTTTTTAAAAATACTGATATTTTCATTTATTTCATTCATCTTGTTCTTTTTTTTTTTTTTTGGTATCGGGGATCAAACTCAGGTCCTTACGGTTGCACAGCAGGCGGTGAAACCACTGAGCTAAATCCCTGGCCCTTCATTCATCTTGTATATGAGCTGATATATGTGTGTGCCCTGGAGCTGAGCACAAATTATCTGTCAAAAGGAGATCTACGCAAGATGCATAGGCCATAGATCCTACTTAGAGAACAATTAATGGAATGGAAGTGCGAGTCCACAAATAAATCTTTTCATTTAAAAAAAGTTTTTGGTGGTCCTGGGGATGGAGCCCAGGGCTTTTGGCCTGAGCGCCACCCCCAGCCTTCTCCTAGCTTTTCTGTTGAGGCTGGGTCTCTCCAGGTTGCCAGGTTTCACAGGGTGGGGTGCAGCTTGCCATGCTCCACCCCAGCCTTGCAGAGTGCTGGGATTAGAGGTGTGTACCCACAACTGGGAGGAGCCCGTATACCAAAGGCAAAATGGGTGTGGCTATTAATGGCTAGTGTCCTTTGGGGGTGAGAGACTGATCTAAAACTCTGACTAGCTAAAATCACTAAAAGTTAATCTTCAAGTAGATGAATTTGGTATGTGACTATCTCAATAAAGATGTGAAAAAGGTAAACACTCAAAAAACCCCCAACAAAACAGAATCTACTTTTTTTGTCGTTTTTTTTGGCTTTTGGAGCCAGCATGTCTCACTATGTAGCCCAGGCTGGCCTTGAACGCACGGCAATCCTACCTCAGCATCTTGTGCTGGGATTATAGGCATGTGCCAGCACGCCTGGCTAAACACATAATCTGTTAGTTAACAGAACTGTCTTTTTGCTTGGCTTACTGAGTGTTACCTATATCCCAGGCATGATGCTGACTGAACTCTAAAGATGTTCTCAAGAAACTTTAGATACTGGGACCTCATAGGTAGCTACAAAGTGAGATCTAATAACTGTTGAGTATCTTCATAGATCCTACCTAAAGAATTCAAGTTGTCAAATCAATGAACTGTCTCATTACAAAATGATCTCTTCTAAAATGAGCCAAATCCCAGGGACATGATAAGGATGGTTAAGTGTAACTCAGATGTGGTCCTCCTCCATGTCACTTATACCAACTCAACAAAACGTGCCATATGTGGAAGTGCTAACAGACACAATTTCCGCTTTGCCTTCTGCCACTATCCTTAAAATGCAATGCAGTACCTGGCTCTCTTTTCTGTTTCTTCTCTAGCCTTTGTTTCAGGCTTTCCAGTTCCACACTGTCCTCCGCAGGGGTTCCTTCAGTATTTTCACTCTAAAACACAGCAAGATGTGAAAACCAAAGCAAACAAAAAGACAGCAAGACACAGAGCTGACATTCTGCCACCTTAGAGTTTAGAGTAACAAACAGTTAAATATACAAATATATACACGCTCAAGGAATGTTTCTTCTTTGGGTTTTGGTTAAGAGCTCGAATAGTGGTACATGTATAACTTTTTTAAAGATAGTTAAACGTTAAAAAATCAGGTGCTTAAGAAAGTTATAGTCAGATATAGGATAAATTCCAAACCATGGGGTTAGAAATTTGATACAACTCATTCAATTCTAAGTGAAAATATGCTTAAAGTATTTACATGTACTGCTTGCCAGAGTATTCACCTTGATTTTCTTCTTAATTTTCTTTTCTGCCTCTGCTTTCATCTCTACCGTCACCCGAGGAATAACCCTTGTTCCTTGTTGAGAAGGCAAAACTTCAGCCATCTGTGCTTTTTTCCCTTTTGGTTTCCCTCCTTTCCCAGGAAGTCCTACTTGTTCATCTTGTTTTTCTTTGGCTTCAACAGCCTACAAAAGGGTTGTAAGAAAGCAAGTTTAGAAGCGAAGGAAAACCTGTACCATCTAAAATGCAACAGCTAAACTGATTTCAGCCTGTTACACCCTAAGACAAATTTGTATAAGCTATTCCACAACCAAGCACATCATCAGTAGTGAAGATGTAATTTTTTTCTTTTTTAGTACTGAGGATCGAACTCGGGTTCTTGCGCTTTCGAGGCAGGCGCCGGAATCACTGAGCTAAATCCCCGGCCCCTCATTGAGAGAACTTTTAACCTGGGCATTACAGAGTGCCTACCTCTAGTTCCTCAACAAAAGCAGCCAAGTCTTCTTTCCACAGATCTGACGGACTCTTTTTCTTCAGTGTGTGCAGCTCTTGCTCCTTTATAGGGTCACCAGAAAGCTGAGTTAGTGGGTGCACAGCAGCGTTTTTACTCACACACAGCTGTTTCCTTTCCCTCTGCAGGAGCAGTATCAGGCCCGTGGCGGACAGCCCACCTTTTCGCTTCGCTGCTTGCACAACTCGTCTTTCTTTTCCTTGGTCAGGTACCAGAGGGGCATGTCAAGGAGGTAGGCGAAGGTCGGCCCGGTATCTGCGGCGGAGTCGCCCTTGGCAGTCTCCTTCTCGCTGTCACTTTCTTCATTGTCTTCTTCATCTGGAACCTAAAGTGCAGAGGAAAATGTCAACTTGACGGGCGATGTGAAATGCAACCCTTGTGGAACCAGCGGGTGCTAAGCCAGACGCTACCTTTTGCTGGGCTTCTTTCCAGGCCTTCACAGGATCTGAATCATATCCCCTCTGAATCAGAACTTTAATTAATTCTTTCTTAGGTTTATTTTCTATTTAAAAGATGTAAACAGAGATAATGGTTTTGAGTAAGATTTCAGGAAATGGATAAGGTTTTACCACATTAAGTCAAAAAACTAAAACTATGAATCAAACTGTTTCTGTTTTGCATTCATTTGTACATTCTGGTTTAGAAAGGAATGTTTTCCCCAAATCAGTAACAGAAGTAAATTACAAGGGGGAAGTCAAATCATAAATGAGGCTGTCATCTAATCATGACTCTTGAAAGAATGAAGGGAATCAAAACCTTTTTTCATATACCTCTACGTCACTTAGGTTCCTGTCTTTTTAATTAATTTTTTTTTTTTTTTGAGACAAGGTCTTGGTATGTAGCCCAGGGGTGGCCTTGAACTTGAAGTCACAGAGATGCTCCTGCCTCAGCCTCCCAAGTGCTGGGATTACAGGTCTGAAGCACCATGCCCAGCTCCAGCTTGTTGTAACACTTGATTGGGCCAGTTTTCTGTTCCACCCACCCAAAGATTGACACTCTCTTAATCATGGTCCTCCATGATACATTAATTCCCTCTTTTGGCATTATCTCTGTTTTAGTGCTCAGGACAGTTAACTTACTACACTTTGAGGCCCAGTGAGAGTCACTCGCTATCTGGAGCTTTGTACCACCTGTTATGGCTGAGATCTAAAATGTCTCCCAAATTTTTCATGTGTTCACAGGTGGGGCTTTTAGGGGTAAGTGGGTCATGGTGGTGCCATGCTCATGAGTGGGATTAATTCACTGAGGAGTTGGGGTGTTGAGGAGACAGGGCCTGGTTGGGGTGGTCCCTGGATGTGCTGGGAAGGGTGCATCCTCGTCCTGGCTCCTCCCACCTTCCTCTGCCTCCTGGGTGAGCAGCTGTCCTGTGCTGTGCCCTCTGGCTGTGCCTTTCCTGCCTTACAGCCAGCTGACCATGGACAGAACCCTCGAAACCGTGAACCCAATAAACCTCTCCTCCTTTAAGTTGTGGGTGTCAGGGATTTTTGTCACAGTGATGGGAAAGTGACTAATACACGACCTTTCTTCAATTAACTTAAATTTGATCACATATTTAGACCCTGATATTTGCTCTTCAAGAAGACTCCACAGTCCCTAGAATTTCCTAATGCCAGCCAAGGAGAAGTCCCTTTTTCCTTCAGGTCATGTCCAGTACCATGCATTTTAGGTTTGCCTTAAGCAGTATCTTTGAAATAAGAAGGCTGATATGCTGGCGCTAGTTCTGTAACTATGTATCCAAACAGACATGTAATTATCAAGCTAAACATTTTTGTGTGCCATCAGAAACTATGCCTTTGCTCACTAGGGTTACTGTGTTTTGGGGTTTGCTACTATAACTCATTAAAACTAGCTGCCTTTCCCAGCCCAGCTCTGTCCTTTCTCTTCTTTTTCTGACAAGGTCTTGCTATGGCACCCAGGCTGGCCTCAAACTTCTGAGGTGCTGGGATTATAGGCATGTACCACCACACTGGCTCTGAGCTATTTCTTTTAACCTTCCTTGTATGCCAGCTTGTCAAAACTCTTCTTCCTGGTCACTTAACCCCTCACTTACTTCTTATAGATTTCTTAAAAAAAGAATCTTTAAGACTTGATTTTTTTGGGTGGGGCATTTAGCTCAGTGGTTCCACTGCCTGCCTCGCAAGTGGAAGGTCCCGAGTACAATTCCCATTACCAAAATGACTTTACTTTTTCAGTTTTGGGTGCCATTTACTTATCAAGTCTCTTATAATCCCCCTTCCTGCCTTTTCTTCTTCTTTTGTTTTGGTACCGGGGATCGAACTTGGGACCTTGTGCTTGCAAAGCAGGCAGCGGAGCCACTGAGCTAAATCCCCAGCCCTTGCCTTTTCTTCTTTGTCAGCTGGGATCTTCTCTTGTGATAAACCAGTTTACATAGTCTTCTAGCTCTATTTTCTTCCTGTCTAAATAGCAAGTAAATCTTTGTTTTCCTTTAGCATCGAGCCTTGAATTCAGGACCTTGTGGTTCTGAGGCAGGTGCAGTGCCACTGAGCTACATTCCCAGCCGTAAACTTTGATGCTCGGTCTGGGAGATGGGGATGTAACTTAGGGGCAGACTGCATGCTTAGCCTGTGCAAGGCTCTGGGTTTGGTCTCCAGCACAAGAAAAAAACTACTCAATCTAGGAGAAGCTCACTTTCAAAGTATAAATTCCTAATCAAATATTTTAAAGAAATTCTTGCCTCAGCAACCAGGTGAGCTACATGGGATTCTGCCCTCCCTCCCACCATCACTCTCAGCAGCAATGTTTAATGAAAGATTAGCATAACTACATTTTTAGTAGAGAGGATTATTACAAAAACATTACCAATGATTATTTTGCCATCTATTTTCTCTAAGATAAAGCGAGCTTGATTGTTCAGTTTAGCAGATTCTGCACCAAGCATTCCTAGGAGCCATTCTTTTCTTAATCCATAATATTTGAGCCTGAGTTCAAAGAAGTCTCTTAGGATGTCCAACGCTGTGTCATATTTCTTTAAGCAGCCTACATGGTCAAAAAGCACCTGGGAAAGGAGAAGAAGGTTAGAGCTATGAGCCAATAAATTCAGTAAAATTTATAAAAATAGCAGAAGATATCTTTAAAAATTGATATTAATCTTCAATACAAGCTGAAGTACACATCTTTCACACAATAAGACATACCATAGGGGCCGGGGATTTAGCTCAGTGGTTCTATTGCCTGCTTTGAAAGCTCAAGGTCCTGAGTTCGATCCCCAGTACCAAAAAAAAAAAAAGACATACCATAGAGTTGCAGGTGAGACTTGTTTGGAGTTTGAAGACTTTGTGCAGTCCGGCTCGCTCTGCCTCTGCCAGTTTTTCTTCAGTCATCTTCACAACAAACTTGACAGTGGTATCTGTGTGGTATTCCCTATAGTCTGTTATGAGAGGCGGTGTCTTCTCAGTGCCATTCAGCATGGGTTCTAGAACCTGCTCTTTATACGTCTAAAGAAACAAACAATCCTTTTGTAAGGAGTCTCCTCAATGACCAAGAGCAATAGTGCAAAAAGTCTGCCAACCACAAAATCAAGAAAGCCACAGTTACTTACCTGGGTCCATGTTCTGATGGGAAGCTCTGAGATTTCAATGGTTGTAGAATTCAGAATAGCTACTTCACCATTAATCACATACTGATTTGGAGCCAGCTCTTCAATAGTACCTCTGAAGTTCTTGTAACTTGGAAGCTAAATTGGTTTTCAAAAAAATAATGTTTTGTAAATATGATGCTAACGACAGAAATCACAAGGTGTTTTCATGGCTTACACTCACAGGTGGGCTTTTGGAGGTGTCTGGATCACGGGTGTGTGATAACTGGATCATTCCATGGATTGGTTTAGCATAGTTGTGGGTGAGGGGGTTACTGAAGAGGAAGCCCCACCGTGGGTGTGGGTGGCACCAACCAATAGGCTTGTAGCCTGGATGGAATGAAAAGGGAAAGGAAGGTTTGCTGCTTGCTGCCAGATTGTTTCTCCTTTACCAAGCCCCACTGCCATGGCGCACTACTTTGGAGCAGCTGAGTATGGACTGAAACCTCTACAAACTGTGAGTCAAAATAAACTTCTCCTCCTTTATCGTGTGGGTGTCAGGTATTTTGTCTCAGCAACAGGGAAGTAAGACAGTGTTCAACAATACAACTAACAGGGCTGGGGATTTAGCTCAGTGGTTCCACCACCTGCTTTGCAAGCGCAAGGACCTGAGTTCAATATCCGGTACCAAAAAAACAAAAACAATACAACTAACAATAAAGGGTGAAATAAATTTTCATCCTCTTTAGTCATATAGTCCAATCAACTGAATCCAGAGGAAAAATAAGGTTCCTAATACACATAATAGTTACCATTGGCAAAGGTTCTTCTCCATCCATTAAACGCCTGATGTTATTCACAACTTCGCGAACATCAAAGTTGGGGATTTTGCAGGACCACCCAGTGCCAATCCCTTCAGCACCATTCACCAGCACCATGGGGATGATAGGGATGTACCATTCAGGCTCCACACGTTGGTTGTCATCGTATAAGAACTTCAATGTATGATCATCTTTTGGTGGAAATAACAACCGAGCCAAAGGGCTAAAGAAAACAATCAAAGGATATTATTTTACAAAATTTTATGGAACATACATTTTGTTAAGTGGTGGGGTAAATACTTAGCCTTAGAAGAAAACTAGAGTAGGTATGAGCAGCGTGTGTCAGTAGCCCTGGCTACTCAAGAGGTAGGAGGATTGCTTGAGCCCAGGAATCTTGAGGACAGCCTGGGCAACACACTGAGGCCCTGTCTCTTAAAAAAAAAAAAAAAAAATGTGCTAAGAAAAATCAAAGCCTTTCTGATAGGATTATATTTGAGCAGAGAAAGAAAAAAAAACCTGGCGAAAAGAGCCATGTGGATAACAAAGTGTTGCAGACAGACTGGAGGGGAATGTGCCTGGCACATTTGAGCGAAGGCTGAGGCAGCAGAGCTGGAGTAGCGATGGCATGAAAAGGAACCCGAAGATATTTGGAGTGGGGGTACAGATCGTGTAAGGCCTGGTTAGCTAAGTTCACTCTGAATGAGCAGGTGGAAGGTTCTGAACCAGAATGACCTACTTTTGAAAAATTGATTGGCTGCTATGAGAAAGGACAGTAGATTATATGATAGTCATTTACATGAGAGGGGGCAGCTTAGTTTTCCCAATGCAGAGCCCATAGGATTTGCTAATGAATTGGGTGGAAGTGGTAAGAAAAGGAGCCAAGAGCGACTCCAAAAGTTTTAGTCTGAGTGAACAGAATGGTAGAATTCCATTACAAAGGCAAGGAAGGAGTTGGTTTTGGACTTGTGTCTGAGGAACTTATTAGATAGCCAAGTGGGAGATGTTGAAAAGGTTAGTCACACACTAAGGGCTGTCAGAGTTCTGACGAGAAGTCAGGAATGGAATTGTTTTTTTGGTGGTGGTAACGCAGACTGAACCAAGGGCCTTGGCACTGAGCCACATCTCCAGCCCTTTTAAAACTTTTAATTTTGAGATAGGGTCTTGCTATTTTGCTAAATTGCCCAGGTTGGGCTTGAACTTCAGACTGCTGGGATTGCAGGTGTGCAAATGCCATGCCAAGTGATAATTCTTTGTTGTGAGAAGCTGACCTGTATCCTGTAGGGTGTTTATAGCAGCAGCCCTGGCCTCTGTTCACTAGATCCCAATATTCTCTAATACATTTAATTTTTAAAAGTTTTGGTTTCACATTGCTTCAACATTGGAAACAGGCTGGGTGTGGTGGTGCATGCCTCTCATCCCAGCACTCAGGAGGCTGAGGCAGGAGGATTGCTGCATGTTCGAGGCCAGCCTGGACTACATAGGGAGTTCAAGGCCAGCCTGAACTGCGCAAGACTCTGTCTCAAAAAGCCAAAAAGATGCCTCGCAAGCTAAAGATCCTGAGTTTGATCCCTGGTACCAAAAAAAGAAAAAAGAAAAAAACATTGGCAATAGCAAGTGACTAGAAATGGAAAGCACACTCACCTGAGCATGGTGAAGATGTATCGAGGACTAGCAGAATCCTTGCCACCATGCAGCCTGGTACCAAACTGACCAATGGGCTGCAAGAGGTTCAGATTATTGCTACCCACAAAGTTCTGAGCCAAATTGATGATGGTCATCATTAGTGACATCTGCAAGGAGAAAGATTCATTACCCTAGATAATGTATATCCATCATGATGACTAAGCACAAACATTATGAGGTTCAGACATTTATACTTTCTTTTCCCATGTAAATGGATGGTGGAAGTGGCCCAAGTTCAGGGCTTTTGCCTTCCATTAATTTCTATCAAATTTGACTTAACTTTGAAGGAAAAGTTCCTGTCCTTCCCTCAGGAAAATGAAATGTTTCCACGTCTATCATAAGATGAAGTTCATTTCTGTTCTAGCATGCAGATATCTATTCACTCTACAGTATGTGTTGGGCCTCTGGCTAAACTGTGATTATGCCTTGAAGGCAGGGAACACATTTTACATGGACTTTTTATATACCTGGTCTGTCTAGAAGGTTACATCCCAGATTGGTGGATGGATGGTACAAGGCAGGCATTTAACATATGTAAGTTGGGTAAATACTTCGAGTTCTCACTGTATAGTGATTTAAAGCTGTAAATAGCACAACCATTACATTTAAATTTTCTAGGAACTTGCAAATAATGTTTTTGTTTTGCTGTGGTACTGGGGACTGAACTGAAGGCCTTCACATTGAGCTATATCCCCAGCTCTTTTATTTTTCATTTTGAGGGAGGTTCTTGCTAAGTCGTGAAGTTGCCCAGGCTGGACTCTAATTTAGGATTCTCCTGACTCAGTCTCCCAGAGTGCTGGGATTAGAGGCGTATGCCACCACACTTGGCTGGCACTGTAGTTTTTAAAAATGGTTATTAGGGGCTGGAAATTTAGTTCAGTGGTGCCACCACCGGCCTCGCAAGTGCAAGGTCCTGAGTTCGATCCCTGGTACCAAATAAAAAATAAAAATGGTTATTAGTGAAAGTGAACAATTCAGGATGTATCCTCCTAGGCATTTTGTATTCAATATTCTTCTGCCTTTTTCCCCATCTGGCAACAGACTACGCACAGTCTTCAATGTTAGTGCATTTTATTTGTGTCACTGATTCCATACACATATACAATACAACTTATAGCAAATAAACATCACTAAATATGACTATAGACCCAAATGTGAGTATGCTTGTAGGAATATTTTTTCTAAAACTGTAAGTGTTAGGGCTGGAGATTTAGCTCAGTGGTTCCGCTGCCTGCCTCGAAAGCACAAGGCCCCAAGTTCGATCCCCAGTACCAAAAAAAAAAAAAAAAAACAGGCACACTTTTATAGTTTGATATAGTTTACCAAATTGTTCTCTACTTAGCTTTTGCTTACTCCACTTGTACTACTACAACTTATACTCGCACCTAATGTGTCTGGATAATGTCTTGCAGTTATTATTATTATTATTTTTTCAAAGTAGGAAGATATTTATTGATAGGAAAGCTCCCGAGGGGCAGGAGGGCCAGGAGGGCCGGGAGTGGGCGGCCCTGTCTTGGGTTATTCTGCTGCAGCGCTTCCTGGACACACCCTAGACTGTGCTCACCTCACCGTGATGGTAAGAAGACATTTCCGCCACTGACCCAGCCAGCTGGGCGACCTTCACCTCTCGCTTGTCATTCCGCTTGAAGCAAGTAAACAAAACTTTTCTCTGACCTGGTTTCAAACCTTTCAAATTGAAAGAAGGGAAAACATTAGCACTTTTAATTTAACTGTTTCTGAGCACCAATTTCCATTTCCTAAAACAGAACATCAAACTGGAACTCACCATCCACCATAGATGGGATAGATCTCTCATTGTCAGAATTTGAGAACAGGATAAGCTCCTTGTTTATGAAGTCATTATATGTCAGGTAAGTGGTAGTTTGCCCATACAAATAATCCTGAGGGACCCAAACAAACTGCTTAGAACTATCATTTCTTTTTTAAAAATTTTACTTTATGAAAAAATAAATGAAATTTCCTAACGAAATAGTAAGAGGAAAACAACAGTTAATACACTGTGTCATTATCTTCAAAGCAGTTACTTAGTACAGACAGACAAAAACAGATTCTCTTACAGAGAAGAAACAGATAATAGCACAAGACATTCTTTGTTCTTTAAATTTTTTTTTTGTTTTTTTGAGACAGAGTCTCCCTGTGTAGTTCAGGCTGGCCTTGAACTCACCATGTGGCCCATGCTGGCCTCAAACTCACAGTGATCCCCTTGCCTCAGCCTCCCAAGTGCTGGGATTATAGGCATGTGCCACCACACCCAGCAAAATTTTCTTTTCAGTAAATATAACTATTATTTCTATGATTCTTACTTTCCCCCAAAATATAATTAAGCAGAAGTACTTTATGTTTTAAAGACAAAGCAGGGCTGGGGATTTAGCTCAGTGGTTTTGCCCTCTGCTACGTAAGTGCAAGGATCCGAGTTCCATCCCCGGTAACAAAAAGTAAATAAATACATACATACATACATACATACATACATACATACATACGTACATAAAGACAAAGCAAACTTAATTGCTGCACAGTTAGAAAAACAGTGCATTGCCTTTATAATTTTTTTTCAGGCCCAATACACTTGAGCAGTCCAAATAAAAATATTTATAAATAGCCATGAATCATTTAATGAAGGGGACACATTCTGATAAATGCACTATTAGGTAACTTTGTCATGTGAACATCATAATGTGAACTCATACATGCCTGGTGTATTTACACAGGCTTAAATGCATATGTACACACACACTCCTATGTTATTTATTTTTATTTATTTATTTTTTTGGTACCGGGGATCAAACTTGGGACCTTGCGCTTGCAAGGCAGGCGCCGGAACCACTGAGCTAAATCCCCGGCCCTCCTATGTTATTTATTAATACTTATTTGTATGTTTTTGAGACAGGGTCTCACTGTGTAATTCTGGCTGGCCTTGAACTCACTATGTAGCCCAGCCTGGCCTGGAACTCATGGCGATCCTCCTGCCTCAGCCTCCCATGTGCTGGGATTACAGGTGTGCACCACCATGCCCAGTATATTTTAAATGTTACAACTTTACTGCTTCTAGGCCCATGATAAAAAAATCAACATGACATTAAGTCAAGCACAAAAGAAAAGGATGTCATCAAGAGACTTGGTAAATATTAGATGTAGGTGGCTACCACTAGCATAGAAATGCAATGTTTTACAATAAATTTTTTTGGGGGGGTACCGGGGACTGAACTAGGGACCTTGTGCTTGCGAGGCAGGCAGAGGCACCACTAAGTTAAATCCCCGGTCCTACAATAAATTTAAAACAATTTAAAATAATGCTAATGTGCACTATAAGGCACAGTGGCACAAGCTTGTAATTCCAACACTAAGGGAGGCTGAAGCAGGAGGATTAAGGTTCGAGTCCCTCCTGGGAAACTTAAGAGACCTTATGTCAAAAAAAAAAAAAAAAAAAAAATACAATAAAAGCTGGGGATGTAGTTCAGTGGTAGGGTGTCACTGGCACTGGGTTCAATCCCCCAGTACTGAAAAAAAAAAAAAAAGGTGAAAAAAGCAAATATATATAAAGTAACCAGAAAAAACAAAAACCAAAACCCAGTAAGCACTATTCATTCTCACCAAGTATATTATATATCATTACCAACTATACTAAACATAGAATTGTTTGCGCCATACTTTTACAAGACTGAAGTACAGTTGCTTTGATTACACCAGCATCACCAGAAATACATGAGTAACCCTTGCCCTGACTTTATGCTATGTTAGTAGGTGATTTTTCGGCTTCATTGTAACTTTAGGGGAACATAGTTGTATATGTGATCCAGTGTTGATGATAACACAATTATAGGGTGTCTGGCTAGTTTTTTTTTTGGTACCAGGGATTGAACTCGGGTCCTTACACTTGCAGGGCAGGTGGCAGAACCAAGATTCTTTTTTTGATACTGGACATTGAACCCACAGACTTGTGCATGCTAGCCAAAAGCTCTACCACTGGGCTATATTCCCCAGCCCTAAAATTATTTATTACATTAAATTTCTTACTGAAGTCCTATTCAGTAAATTTAATTTGCTACAATATAAATCCTATGTTGATCAAATACACATTTTGTGGGAAAGATTTAAAATTTTTACCTCAGGAAGGCCAAGTAACTTCCGTTGTCTTCTATCTTCCATGAAATGAGTTAACCAATCCTTTCGATCATCTATCTGCTTTTTGCTAAAGGCCTAGAAATTAGAAGATGAAAAAGATGTCACCAGTACTAATAGGTTCCAAAATATTTTTTCTATCAAAAACAACAGAAATCTTCTTTCCTAAACTATCTGGTTCTTTTCTGTGACATGCTTACTAGAAACATTCTACTTGATAAAACACAGGTAAAAATGTAAATGTTTCAACTGATTAGATAAAGTAGTGATTTCAAAAATGAGGAATGTATATATAAAATACAACTCAAACTTACTAGGCTAATCGCAGCATCATCCTCAGGCCCAGAATATTTAAATTGGATACGATGTCTTTTCATATCTGCGAAGTACTCCTTAGCTTCCTTTGATGTGCTGGTGCCCAAACCTACCAAGCCAAAATACCAAGTAACCCCACGTAGCCTTGTACAATGATATATAAAACTGAGAACTTCCATATGGGTTTCATTACAAACCTTTGTAATACTTGACTTTCCATTTTTTATGATTTGGGGTAGAACTCTTCCATTCTTCAAATTCAGGAAGGCTGTAGAATGCCATTTCCTGCTTATTTTTAGACACCTGTGGTAAAGAACATAGTTGTAGCTTTCACATTGGGTGTTCCCTGCATACAGTCACATGTTATGGGGTTATATTTATATGAAGGCAGGTCAAGCCTGAAGGTGGTCCTTCGCCTAATCCCTGTTCCCTTTCTCTCCATAGATTAGAGTCTAAGATGGTAAATCCTGGATGGCACAGCCCCAGGAGACAGTTACAGTATGGGTCCTTGTTCCTTTTCTGTGCATGCCCCAATCATGAGACAATCATGTTCAGCCTAGGCCACGTGGCCACATGGCACTAGTTACCCTACCTTCCCACACTAGAAATAAAGCACGCACTGGATGCCAGGCAGCCATTAGCTCATCAGGCTATGGTCCCACCTGGTCCCAGCTATCAAGAATAATCTTGGGCTCTTTGTTGTCTTTTCTTCATCTCCCACCACTCTCCCCAGCTTCGGACCCTACCCTGTGAGGGTCGCAGCAGTGAAGAAGGGTCTTGGAATATTTATTTTATTTCTTTTAATTTTTTAAATTTTTTGGTACTGGGGATCAAACTCGGGACCTTGCGATGCGAGGTGGAATATTTATTTTTGCATCTTATAAATTGGCATACCTTTACAATGGGAGTGATGAATTCCTCCAGAAAACGATGTCGTAGAAGAGAGGGCCAGTTGTGATGGATAAAATTAATCAACAAGCCTTTGATATGGGAACCATCTTGGTCCTAAAAAATATTGGAAAAGTCAAAGTACAAAAGAATTGTTAGGACTCTTATTAAAGAGTTACGATTGAATTTCATAAATTTTTTTTAAAATAGGGGAACTAAAAAAAAAAAAAAAGACATGCTTAATTTAGTTCAATAGTCTAATTTCCTAACAAATCTGACCTGATCAGTCATAATCATTATCTTCCCATAACGAAGAGTCTTCAAAGAATCTTCATCTTCATAGTTTTTCTTGTATTGAAGACCCACAATCTTGATGATGTTATTAATTTCAGCATTTTCCATGATCTGAAATGAACACATATGAAAAAAGAGTAATGTTTTGTCTATAAATGTGGAGAATAAAGAATAACAATATACATTGGTTGGGGTTTCCTGAACTCTAGTACTGTGAATGATTAGACTGTCATTTTTTTTTTCTTTTTTTGTGGTTCTGGGGATTGAACACAGGTTCTATTAAGCTACAACCCCAGCCCTTTTACAAATTTATTTTAAGGGCCAGGGATTTAGCTCAGTGGTTCCGGCCCCTGCCTCCCAAGTGCAAGGTCCCAAGTTCGATCCCCGCTACCAAAATAAATAAATAAATAAATAAACAAATTTATTTTAAGATAAAATCTTGTAAAATTGCCCAGGCTGTATTTGAACTTATGACCTTCCTGTTTTAGCCTCCTGAATAGCTGGCATTACAGGAATATACTACCATGCCTGTCAGTCTGCATTTTAATAAGACTGAAAGGTCTGTTAACATATGCCAGGGCCGGGGATTCAGCTCAGTGGTTTCGCTGCCTGCTGCGCAAGCAAAAGGACCCGAGTTCGATCCCCAGTACCAACAACAACAACAACAACAAAAAACATATGCCAGAAGTGGACACATTTAAAAACATTATTTATTTTTGTGGTGCTCAGGATCAAATTCACACATGTTCAGGACACCCAATTTCTTAAAATACCAACAACCTCTCTAAGATATATTTCACAATACCCAAAGAGGAAATGAAATACAAGCATGAATCTAGACTTAGATTCCAGACTGAGTTTTAAGTTCTACCTGTTTATGAGAAGCTTCTCGGACATTGAGTATTTTTCCTCTAAGAGGGAAAACCCCATATCTGTCTCTCCCAACCACACCAAGGCCTGAAACAGCCAAAGTTTTGGCTGAGTCCCCCTCAGTCAGAATAAGTGTACACTCAGTGGAGTTCCGGCTTCCTGAAATAAAAACACACTAATTAATTATAGCACATTTAGTTCAACCTCAAATATACTAATTTAGACAATACTGTTAATAGCCTTGAGATAAAACATAATTTAGGAATAAAACACAGCCAATTAGATACATGCTTTAAAGTTCATAGTAAAGAGAAAACTACAGTAGTTTTCCCTTATTCATGGCTCTACTTTCCATTTCATGGTCCAAAAATGTTATAAATGGAAAATTCCAGAAATAAACAATTCCTAATTTTTAAATTATGTAATGATCTGAGTAGTCTGATGAAAGCTCACAAGGTCCCACCTGGGTCAGGAATCATTGCTTTGTTCACTGTGTCCACACTGTGTGCCGTCTGTTAGTCATTTAGTAGCTGTCGGGGTTATCAGATTGACTATTATCATCCCAGTGCTTGTGTTCAAATAACCTTTATGTAGCAGCCAAACACTGTATATTACAACGCCTTACCGTTTACCTCACTGCATAAGCACTGTTAATACCTCACATCATAACAAGGGTGAGTATGGTATGACACATGCAGTTTGATCAAAATATATAGTGAATATACAAATTAAAAATTATTACAGTAAAAGATACATTGCCATTAATTCCTTTCAAAATACTCCCCCGCACATCAAACACACTTATTGCATCATTCTTGCTATTTTCTGAAGCAGATCTGGAAGTCTTTCCTGTCTTTTGGATCAAAACAGAGAATGCTGCTGTTGAGTGTCATCCAACAGAAAGGCTGCCTCATAGGAACATGAGGCTGTGTTCTTATCCACCTTATTTGTTGGATCTGGCACCATGCTACTTCTGGCTCTTCTCCAAAGTCAACATGACTATGAAAGCTAACCATTTTGAACTGATTCAGGACATCAAGGCAGCCATGACACCACAACTAAGGACATTCCCAAAAGAGGACTTCCAGAACTGCTTCAGAAAATGACAAGAACCCAGTGTGGTGGCGTGTGTCCGTGTTGCCAGGACTTGAGAGGCTGAGGCAGGACTATTGCCATGAGTATAAAGTATAATGCTGGCCTGGGCTATACAGTCAGTTCAAGGCCAGCCAGAACTACAAAGTAAGACCCTGCCCCACCCGTTGCCAAAAAGAAAAGGAAAATAGCAAGAATGATGGGATAAGAATTTTTGAAGCAAGAGGGAGTATTTTGAAGGGTATTAAGGCAGTGTGTCTTATATGACTCTTCTTACAATATCTTGTTAGAATTGTTCTATTTTATTAGTTACTGTTATTAATCTCTCACTGTGCTTTTATCACAGGTATGTATGTCTAGGAAGAACATAGTATCATAGAGTTGGTAGTATTCAGTGTCAGGTATCTGCTGGGAGTTTTACAATTATATTCCCTGAAGACAGGGGAAGAATGCTGTATCAGTTTCTTAGATTAATTTCTCACCACAATACTTAACTATTGCTACATACTCACTTGATCAGATTATATTGAAAATATTCTTTTAGGTAATAGATCACTCTATATAAATATTCTTACTTTATGTCCCCAAATAATTATTTCAACATTATTTGTAATGGCCCCAAATTGAAAGTGACTTAAATATTTAACAAGAGATAATTGATTTTTTTAAATAAACTTAATATATTGAATATTAAATCTCAAGGGAAAAATACCATGGTATGCTCTAATGAAGAAAACTGAAGCACAAAATTTAAAGTCTGGAAACATTATTAAATATGTACCTGCATCATTGGCATCATCAAGTTTGGGAATTCCCTTGATTCTGTTATGTTTTACAGCTGAACACTTCTTGTTTAACTGAACTTGCGCCTTAAATTTCACCCAGTTCAGTATGCTTTCTACAATACCACAGCCAATTGCCTGGAAACAAGATTCATATTAGGGAAAAAGGATTCTGTCAGAAATCCAGATTAGAAATGAGCCCCCAGGAAAATAAAAACAATTCAAAGATTAAAAAAGAGACGGAACAATAATTTCTGACTAAAGAGCGATACAGTAATTTCTGGATCTTCCTGCCTTCTCACAAGTAAGGCAGCTGGTTGCTTTTGGTTCATTCAACAAACGTATATTATTTCCTTACACTGTGCTAGGCACTGAGTCACTTGTTAGAGAAACAGTAGCTGAAAATTAGACAAGGTCCTTGTCTTCAAAGAGTTTAAGGTATAACTTGGAAGGCAGAAATAAGATAAAAAATGAGAGTATGGTGAGAGTCATGATGAAATGGTAACAACATGGGTTCAATGTTAAGTTGGAACCAGTTTAGCTAAGGAGATGGGTAGACAGTAAAGGTTTTCCTAAGGAAATGGAATTCAGACTTTTCCTGAGTGGAAGTCACTGAAAGATTTCAAGAGACTGGAGACAAAAATGTGTGCTTTGGGCCAGGGATTTAGCTCAGTGGCACCGCGACTGCCTTGCAAAGTACGAGGTCCTGAATTCAATCCCTGGTACCAAAAAAAAGAAAAAGAAAAATGTGTGCTTTATAACACAAAAACGTTGCACAAGATCATTGCAAAGAAAGGACTGGTACAACGCGAAGGCTGAGAACCTATTACGGTAATCCAGAAAAGAGGTCGTGGTGGGAGGCTACAGAGGCACCCAAGAGGTGACCCTTATGCTAGAGAAAAGACTCCCACACCTTTATTGTTTATATAATCCAGTGGCTGGTTGGGTTTTTTTTACTAAGACAGAAAATATTTTAACTTATTGGGATTGTGGATAGGTGCTATGGAGGTAACTAATTCAGTTTGTATGTACTTAGAAAATATAGGCATATTGGCGGTAAGAAAGCCTCTGGGTAAGATTAGAAGTAAAAAGCTATTGTTTTACTTCATTTTCAGATTGGGAAAACGTGCAGGATAGTGTGAGAGGAGATCTATTTCTGCAAAGCTGAAAAGGGCAATGGAAAATAAAGTCAGGTGCTTCTATTTTTATTTCCCTAGAAGTACTCACAGCTTTGATGAATTTTTCACTTAATTGGCATGTTGATCCAAAGCTCTTGGCTTGTAAAGTCATGTTTTCTTTTGTCTGAGAGTCAAAGGTTGGGTTTTCAATTAAGGCATTCACAAAAATCCACATGTGATTTTTCACCTGCAATGAGTTGTTGATATAAAGTCACTAGAAATCCTTCATGCTTTATTTACAGTCTTTCTTCTGTCTTGACTTTAGAAAAGAAAAGTGCTAAAATACCATACCTGATGTGCTTTTACTGCAACCCCACCCTTGTTCTTCTTCTTCACTACATCAACAAGTTTGGTCACAATCTGATCAGCTACATAGTCAACATGTCTGCCACCCTAGTGAGGAAGAAGAACTATTAACCTCAGTATCCTCACAATTACAATAATAATCAAATACTTAAAAAGCATTTAGCTTCTTTATGCCAAGGTAGCCAAATATTTGTCTTCTGTATATATTAAAAGCATTAAGAACACTTATAAAATTACCTTGGAAGTAGCAATGCTATTGACGAAGCTAATTTGCTGGAACCCTTTTTCACTCATTGTTAAACACACCTCCCATCTGTGGTTTACTTGTTCATGTATTACTTTCAGTGGGTTGCCAGTTTCATCTAACTTATCCTTTAAATACATATCCACATAACTACGGAATCCTTTTACCTGTAAAGGAATTTAAGGTATGGTATTTTACAAAGAAAGCTATAAAATGTAGAGTTAAAGGCTAGGGATTTAGCCCAGTGGCACCACACCTGCCTGGCAAGTGCAAGGTCCTGAGTTTGATCCCTGGTACCAAAAAAAAAACCAAAAAAAACAGTTAATGGATCATGAGGATTTTTCAAAACAGATGAAATAATGTTCACTAATGGGCTAAGAGAATGTCATTTAAGGAAGGGCATAAGAGTATTTTTTTTTAGGTGTTTCTTTGAGAAAGAAATTTCTTCTGCATGTTTAAAATGATCCGGTTAAAAAATGTATTCTAGGGCTGGGGATTTAGGTCAGTGGTTTCACCACCTGCTGTGCAAGCGCAAGGACCTGAGTTCGATCTCCGGTACCAAAAAAAAAAAAAAA